TGTTACATACTAAAGCCACTATACAGTGTTTTAGGTGCTGACAACATGTCTGACACCTGCTCTTAAAGACAGCAGTACTTAACTACTTCAAATACAGGTATGACAACATATCCTAGTTGTGTTTACAGAACAACAGTAACAAAAAACTGACTGTCACACAACGTTCTATTCTTGGTAAGAGGATGAATTGGCCAACTGATGTACTGTTTCATGGAGTAAAGTCATTTTAATGAGAAGGAATTTAAATAGATTATTTTGCTACCTACTAGAAGAATTTTTGTCTTGAATTCGTTTCTTTAAAAATTCTACCAAAAAAATCGTTTACTGTTAATAAACATTTGCTTTGTAAAACAGTTTTGCAAGTCTTAAGTTTTTCCTCCATTATTGAAATGTAGGCTCTGTAAACAGAAACAAGTATAATTTCCTTAAGTTCATGGATACTGAAGTTTAAATTCAAGGTTATAGTCTTAGGTGTAATCTCTTTAGTTATAAGCATGTGAACTGCACATTACTGCTCTAGGAATAAAAGGGCTGGTAGTAACACTGCCCTCTGCTTATGTAGAAGTACCCTGTGCAGCTGGTGTTGTGGAGTGTAAATGGACAGGTTTCTTCAATGTCATGTTTAAGTTTGCATCATAGAGACTTCAATGTATCTACAATACTTCTTTGCCGGCTTCCCAGGGGGTAAAGCTGCCTCTAACAGAACTCTGAAAACTGGAAAACTCATCACTGAGGGATTTGTGGGATAGCCACCCCTATTTCTCTTAATCCAAGTACAGCCTCCTGGATTGAAAGCAAGCTACTGCCTCCCCTGTGAGTCCTAATGCCGTTGTTAGGAAAGTGCCCTTGGTGCTGGCACTGCTTCTCAGAGCATCAGGCAGGCAGTTACGAAGTGATTTAGTGCCTTCCAACCATGTGTGGGAAATAGTCTCTGCCTGAACTCCAAAGACCTCTACAGCCTTTGGTTTCACCAAACTTCTGTGTTACAGTTAGGGGGGAAATGGGTCATGTGGTAGGAGAAGACCTTTATTAAAGGTAACTTTAAGAGAAATGTAGTTTTGCTATTGATGATAAAACCAACAAATTTGAGTATGAATTATAATTTAATCCTAACCCGTTAAATTTTATACCTTGTCACCCAGGATTTGAGACAAAATGAGTGATTATACCTTTAATTAAACCCGACAGTGTAAAACTTGAAGTAACTATATTATTTCAGTGGCAGGAGGACACGTATGTGAAGGACCATTTGTTCACATGTACTAGTGTCTAGATGGGGCAGTATGACTGAGCAAGCTTCAAAGACAAGTCAGAGGGCCAAACAGCATGCCACCTAGCCAAGCCCCAGAAACCACCCACTTACCTTGGCCAATTTTACAGGGGCTCTTACCAGGGCTGGCAAAACCAGGTTTTTAAGCCATCATTGTGGCTTCTTTCTGTTAGGAAATAATGATTGTGAGATAAACCTTGAATGATCAACAACTTCTCAGGATTCCTAGGTTGGGATGGCCTGTTATACCATTCTTTTTTCAAAATTTAGTTTGAATTATCTAAGTTGTAAATACACTCACAGGCTATAACACTGCTCTTTGATGGGATGAGCTGATCTACAGTACCCCCCATAGCACTCTAGCCCAACATTCCTTAAGGGGGCAGCTGAAAGGGATGAGAACGGGAGGTTTACAATCACTGCAAACTTTGCGGATTGTATTAAGAGACTAAAACCAGGGCTTCTTTTGTAAATCTTCAGCTTCCAAAACCTTTACAGTGCCCTGAATTTCCACCATGTAATATTAAATAGAGATTTTAACATAGTCAAACATATTTCAATGGATATACAAAGAGCCTAGAGAATATTAATATTCACTGTCTTCAACTTAATAGGAACAAGTTCACGGAAAGGAAGCTATTTGAGACTTGTGTAGATTTGGGTAGCAAAGACCTGTCAAAAATATTACTCATAATTCCCATTTTATTTATTGTACAAGTTCACATAAAACACACATACACTTTCTACTACAGTAGCTTTATGGTTAGTTTCTATGATACAATCCTCCACCGGAAAACACCAGTGACCGACTCGGAGCTTCCCAGGCTGGACCCTGCACGCGCGCCACTAGTGGTGGGTCACAGGCAGCACGCTGTGCTGCCAAACCCTCCAGAGGAAGCCACAGAGGTTTGCATTTGAACATTTTAAATGCACAGCATCAGAGGAAACAGTAAATGCACACAATTTGGTTATAGTGACATCATCACACACAGTCACAACTGCAAAAATACTGTTTTCAAATCATTAAATAAAAAAAGGAACTCGCACAAGCTATAAAAAACGTTGCCACCGCTGATTTTGGCTATGAACGAACCCCAGATTTGCTAAAATACAAGAACTATAACATAACAGTCATTACATTTTGTTCATAAATAACATTCTCTAGATCCTGAGAACATACCTTGGGCCTCTGTGTCACAGCTACCCTACATTCAACAATGCAACATTTCAAGGAAGGTTTTGGATAGTTAGTGGGGTTTTCTCCCTCTCTTCCTTTCACCTACTAGCAAGTCTGTTCTAGTCATCACAGTTATTTTTACTCTTTCATGTGAAATATTTAAAAGTTCTTAACTCAGGCACTGATACCGTTGCTTATTTCAAAATAGCAAGTCTCTGACATCACAAAATGTTACTACCGTATTTTTCGGACCATAAGACGCACTTTCCCCCCCCCAGAAGTGGGAGGAAAAAGTCCCTGCATCTTATGGTCCAAATATAGCCTAAACATATACTTTAAAAAAAAAAGTTTTTTTACTTGCCTGGCTCTGTGTGGACTCTGTGTGCTTGCCCGGCTCTAAAATGGTTCTAAATGCTGCTGTTTACTTTACAGGGTTGATTACATGTGTTTATGACTGTGATGTTGGGTTTTAATGCACATAAAATATTTTAGGACACTATTTGTTTCAGAATCTTTTTTTCTTCATTTCCCTTCTCTAAAAACTGGTGCGTCTTATGGTCCGGAGCGTCTTATGGTCCGAAAAATACGGTAATATTATTTTTTAAAAACCATACCTCTTTTTCAAGTGGGTTTGTTAGGGAATCATGATAAAGCTAAATGGAACTGCCTTAAAGCATTTAGTTTTTACTTTTAAGTGGTCAGACCAGAAGGCTCTTTTAAAGAGTGGAAACACACTTTGTAAACTAGTGATGGAAGAAGCATGTAAACTAGTGATTGCTGGGATTTACATGTTCTCCAGATGGGCAGACCTATGGCCAGAGGACACGCACCCCCCACGCCTCACTTTCACAAAGTGCATCTGGGAAAAAGCTCGTTACAAAAGCACAGTTGGATGATTGTAGAATTTATTAGATAAAGCAACGAAACCCCATTTTCTATAATATTTTCATAAGAGAGTCCAATAGGAAATCAAGTACCAAACAAGCTCGTTCCAAATCTATACTGTAACAGCCAGCTTTCTTTTAAGGATCCTCGACTTTCGAAGGAAAAAAGAAATCCTTATCAGGTTACGGGGCCCAAAGCCAGCCTGCCCGTGTCTTCGGGTCCATTCCCTCGGCCTTCAGAGGACAGTACGACACCTTCCTCTCCATCAGCCCACCTTGCACATCGCTCAGAAGGACAGCCAGGAATCCGCACAGCCACCTGGGAAACAGCCGCCCACAGCTGGGCCTCAGCTGCCCTTTTCTTTTTCTGCCACTTTCTCCCTCACCCCAGATTAACCCATTCATTCACCATCCCCAAACCTTCTTCTTCACTGAGCTCTCTGTCTGGGCACACTCTACGAAGCCTATTAATTCCAGTTGAGGGCCACCCCAAAAAGGAAAATATCATTTAAATACTAGTTACTATCTAACATAACATGGGAAATTTCATTAATGAGAACAGCACAAGTTAGAAAAAATACACAGGCTATATATGGCAACAAATGTACATCAAACGTAAATCATTTAAGCCTAAAAATAGGCACAGAGGAGCTCTGGCCAGTTTCACTCAGTGGTTAGAGCGCACCAAAGGGTCATGGGCTAGATTCCTGGTCTAGAGCACATACCTGGGTAAGTTTGATCCTGGCCCTGGCTGGATCACATGTAGGAGGCAACCAATTGATGTGTCTTTCTCACATCGATGTTTCTCTCCCCCTGCCCCTCCCATTCAGTCTCTCTCTAAAAAAAAATCAATGGAGAAAAATATTCTTGGGTGAGGATTAACAAAACAACAAAAATATATATATATATAGGTACAGGGGAGATTCAAAAAACAAGACCACATCTAAAGTACAATGTCAGCATGTAACATAAAGGGTAGGGATCAAGTTCATAAATTAATAGAGCACTTATGTAACACAAAAGGATAGAATTCAAAGTTCAAATACAAAAGCTAAAACAATCCCATCAGCTAAGAAGAAAATACAGTCTCCTGAGAAGCTAGTTGGAGGCATATAGTAAACCTCTGTACCATATACATACCTCTGTACCCTACCTAACCCATCATGGTCAAAAAATAAAGTTAGTATTAAAACCCTTTCTCAAGCTTTGACTTCTAATCTCTGGGCCCTAATGAGGATGTGCATGACTGTGGCATCAAGGCAGGCATCTCAATGTGGGAAAGAGTATGACCATGAAAGTAAAGAGAAGGGGTGTGCCAGTTATAACACCTTTATGTGAATATAAAGAAAGGGATTTCCACACCAACTAAAAGTGGAAACCAGGTCTAGGAAAAGGAAAATTTCCATTTCTCACAGATCTTTTATATATATATCTATATATATATATATATATATATATATATATATATATATATATATTTGTGTGTTTGTGTGTTTGTGTGTGTGTGTGTGTGTGTAAATACAAAGCAGTCAAACCCACCTTGACATTCATCCACACACATAAGCAAATGTAAGAGATGCAGGCAGATCTGTGTTCTGAATTTTCACATGCATGTTAGCATAGGAAATAATATCAAAAGCAGAAACTGGTCATTAGTATCATCAAAAAATCACAAGATAACAACAACAAATTTACAATAAGGAAAGTCATGAACTGATTCCTCACAACCACCCTAAACTAAACACATACACTTAGAGAATACATCCAGATGCAAATTCACAGAGTATGCAAAGCATCGATTAGAGCAAACCGGGTTAGATTCTCAAGTCCAAGAAAAAGGACAGAATATGTGGCAAAATTAAACATGACTGCAAATATCAAACAAGAATAAAATTCTGAAGCAGTACTCAGAAAACTCTGGGGACTCGGGCAAGCATGAAATAGCCGCTCACACCCACAATATGCACGGGAGATTCTTTTATCCATTTGCTTAACAGGGATATAAACACGGCGAACACACACGCATTGTTTAGTTCATGTGCAACAAAACTAAGCCATTAAATGGGCATCCCATAAAGATCACGTGGCCCTAAGAGGAACTAAAAAGGAGTTAGCCGCATGCCACAAAGACACATAAAGGTTTCACTTTAGGTCTCCGTCTCCTTCTCCATCCCCTTGGATGGACTTTTTGATACGAAGCAACATGGTAGTCAGCCACTGATCCAAGCGTGATATTGAGTCAAATTCCTTCACCTAGTTTAAGGTTAGAGGAACAGAAATTAGTCTATGGAAATGCAATTGAAATAAAGCAGCTGTTTAAATTTAAATAGTGATAATAAACCCACTTTCTTCATTTAAAATTATTCATTCCAGTTCATAACAGTCATTAAAAATTATTTTTTTTCATTATTCTCTATTTTGATGGAGCAATTAAGTTTCTGTGCCTTTTATATTGCTCTGTATATAACAAGTGATGACAAAAATCCCTAACAGCCTTTATAATTGGAAAAAGAGCACTATTATTATGACAAAAGGAAAACAGAAGATAGATGAATATAAAGAAAAAAATCTTCCATTTGTTATGCCAGGAATACTCTCACTGCTTTGTTTTTATATTTTAAAATATACTGAACTGATTTTACTTTACACTTACCGTATTTTTCGGACCATAAGACGCACTTTTTCCCCCCCAGAAGTGGGGGGAAAAAGTCCCTACGTCTTATGGTCCAAATATAGCCTACACATATACTTTAAAAAAAAAGTTTTTTTACTTGCCCGGCTCTGTGTGGTCTCTGTGTGCTTGCCCGGCTCTAAAATGGTTCTAAATGCTGCTGTTTACTTTACAGGGTTGATTACATGTGTTTATGACTGTGATGTTGGGTTTTAATGCACATAAAATATTTTAGGACACTATTTGTTTCAGAATCTTTTTTTCTTCATTTCCCTTCTCTAAAAACTGGTGCGTCTTATGGTCCGGAGCGTCTTATGGTCCGAAAAATACGGTATTTATGGAGTATATTATTTTCAAAAGAAAACATTCAAACAGCAAATTATAACAGTATATGGTGTTTTTCCCCCCTTGAATTTGCCTTATAAATTTACCATGGTTAATGAAACAATATAATTGTATAGGTTTGAAGGATATAAAATAAAAAAACATGACTGTTGGAAAATACAATTAGGTATGCTGGAATAATGTTCAAATAAACGTTCACATTTACAAAATGAAAAGAAGAAAAAGTTCATGTAATAAACCTTTGAAGTATGTATTATATTTCAAAGACATAACTTACTGCTTCAGTGTAAGCTTCACTGTTCTGTTCTTCATGAGCTTCTAGAAGTTTCTAGTAACATAAATATGGAAAAATTAGTTTGGTAAGCTAAAAAAGTTCCATCTGTGAATAGAGATACTTTAAACACAGAAGTAGCCTTAGTATCACATTAACTGATGTTGCAAATACTTCATAAAATTGGAGAAATATTCAAGTACAAATAAAGAATTACCCAAGCCCTGGGTCCATAAATGTGCTAACATTCCTGAACTGCCTGCAGAACACACACTAAGTCCCTGACTCTCAGTGGGATTTGAAACCCAATAGCAAAAGTACGATAGGCTCTTCTGCGGATTTATCCTTCACTTCACACCCAGTTCCACCTGCAGCAAAGGCTTTTTCTTCAAAGTCCTAATATTACTTACTTTCAATAATTTACATTCTCTTGAATCAGTAAATGCTGGAAACATTTCCTCATATTTCTCAAGAGCAAGCTGAGAGAGAAAAAACACTGGTTAATGTCTGACTCAGTAATCCAGGAAACAAAGCTTTGAACATTCTTTTTAAAAATGTTTTTATTTTTTAAACATATTTTTATTGATTTCAGAGAGGAAAGGAGAGAAAGAGATAGAAACATCAATTATGAGAGAGAATCAATCATTGATTGGCTGCCTCCTGCACGCCCCCTACTGGGGATAGACTTGCAAACCCGGGCATGTGCCCTTGACCAGAATCAAACCTAGGACCCTTTGGTCCACAGGCCAATGCACTATCCACTGAGCCAAACCAGCTAGGGCTGAACATTCTATTAGCTTCAGCAAGACTCATCTACATCCTATTTAACTGTATAAGTATGTATTAAACTCATCAAAATCACGGGAATCCTATCTATTTTGATTTTCAATCTCAGTTAAGAATCTATTTCTAAACCAATTTTCCAGAATAGGTTCCTGTAGAGAAGATGTTGTAAACCAAATCTAATTCTTAAAACTCTTAAAAATAAACAGGTGTCTTATTTTTTTATTTTTTTAAGGTACCCAGTTTAGTCTTGCAACTAACAAATATCACCCAAACCAAGTAATATCATGAACAAGAGTACCGGAATAAGGCCCACTCTCATGGGGAATGTGCATCAGTACACTAGTTCTGAAGGACTGACCATACCTTGGCATTCAACTCATCGACTATGAAGTGACAGAGGGCTGCTTTAAAGAAGTAATCCTTTGCACTGTACTTCAACAGGGGATTATCCATGGTGTTTGCCCCAACCTAGGCACAGAAAGCAGTTAGATGTAAAAGGTTTGTTTTATTTGCTTTTTTTAAAAATTGAATTTATTGGGATGATATTGGTTAATAAAACCATATCTACAGGTTTCAAGTGAACAGTTCAATAAAACACATCTACATAGCACATCATGCACTCACCACCCGAAGTCAAGTCTCTTTCCGCCCAGTTTATCCCCCTTTGTCCACTTTCTCCTCCCCACATCCCCTTTCTATCTGGCTATTACTACATTGTTGTCCATGTCTATGTGTCATACATAATATATTTTTTTAAAGGTCTGGCTTCTTACATTAGGCAAACTAATTATCATCTATTGCCTTTAGGAAATAATTCTGTATCTTACGTTAGTTTAGCTATGAAATACATTCTTTTAATGCAATAGTATAACTAGAAAATTTTATTAGAAGAGATAATATTGAACACATAAAATGCTAACCACTTAAAAATGAACTCAGAAGACTTTGACCTGTAGGAAGATGGAACAGACACCCTAAGTATGACTAAAATCCCCCGTCATTTTATATGAAACAAATGTAAAGCTGAAAGGCGAAGAGAAAACTGAAGACTGATAGGGACCGAGACACAACGGAAAACATGACAGTGAATTCCCTGCGTTTTCTTTTTCTTTCATATATTCCTGACTTTTTATAGAAAAAGCTGGCATAAAAGTCATTGGATTCAGAAAAAAAGAAAAAAGAAAAAAAAAAGACTAGGTAAAAGTTTGCTATCTCTAGCCAAAGAACTAAGGAAGAGGCAGTTTAGCAATAGTAAGACAGAAAATGTTTAGACAACAAGTGCTCTATTCTAGCCAAATACCACAAGAAAGCTATGGCCTTAACCCCAATCAACTCATCAAACGCCAAAGAGGAAATCAAGATGCCCATCCTTTCGAGACTGCAACGAGGAGCCCAATATTCCTGCCGAGGTGACTTGAGAGAAGACCAAGAAGGGCCTTCATCAGTTAGCAATGAGCCCACTCTTTCCCCGGCAGCTGAGGCAGTGCAGCCCACAGGCAGCTTGATTTCACGTCTGCCCAGCAGAACCTGGTATTCTTGTCTCCCAGCAGGCATGGTTTCAGAAGAGGCCGAGTGGAGGGTTATGACTTTCACCACCAGCTGGCAGTAACAAGGACAACCCCACCATGGAGGTGGTGGACAGCAAGTAGGAGCTGAAATGAAACGAGGGCCTACCCCCCAGATGTCAATGGAGGCCAAGTGGGAAGTCTCCACCTGGCAGTAATGAGGCAACACACCCTTCCCCAGCCAGAGCAATGTCTCAGAAAGCCAGCTGACAGTGAAGGTTTAAGTAATAGGGTTAGTGTCAAAATGTTCAGTTTTCAATGCAAACTTACTCGCTATACAAAAAAAGGGAAAGATCTTAAGCTGAATGAAAAAAGACAACCAACAGATGACAGCTCTTAGATGGCAGAAATGTTAGTATTACATAACAAAGGTTTTGAAAGAGCCCTCGTAAAAATGCCTCAAAATAGTAACACAAAAACACCTGAAAGTAAAACAAAACAAAAAACAAACAAACAAAAAAGCAAAATCAACATCAATAAAAAAGAAATCCACAACAAAAAAACCCAGAAGACAAAGAAAAACCAAATGGAAATTTCAGAATGGAAAAACACAAAACCACATAAAAAGTAGATTGGCTCAACAGCTGAATAGGACAGATGAAAGAATCAACAAACTGGTGAAAGAACATTAGAAATTAGTCTCAACAACAGAGGAGACAAACAGGAAAACAAAAAACAATAAACAAACCATCAGGGACCTACGTGACCATGAAATGAGGTCTAACATTAGGATCCTCTGATTCCTGGAAGGGGAGGAGAAAAAGAGAGCAGCTAAAAATATATTTTAAGAAATAATGGCTAAAAATTCCCCAAATTTGGCAAGAAGCAAGAGCCTACAGATTCAAGAAGTTTAGTGAAACCCAAACAGGATAAAAGCCAAGCTATCTATGCCACACCATTAACTTCTGAAAACTAAAAGTTAAAGAAAAAAACTTGAAACCAGAGAAAAATAACCTCTTATTTACAGGGGAAAATCAATGTGAATAGCAGCCAACTTTTTACCAGAAACCACAGTAGTCATAAGTGGCACTTTTTCAGGTCCTAAAACACAACAAAACAAAACAAAACATCAACCCAGAATTGTATACCCAAGGAAAATACGCTTAAGGATGGAAAAGAAAATCAAAACATTCCCAGATAAAGGAAAACAAAAAAGTATATTGCCAACAGACTTACCCTAAAAGAATGGTAAAAGGATATTTTTTAAGCAGAAAGGAAGCAATAAAAGACTGAATGTCAAAACATCAGGAAGGAAGCAAGAACACAGCAAACAAAATGTGGTGAATACAATGAGCTTTTCTTTTCTTGAGTTTTCTAAAGTATGTTTGATGGTTGAAGCAAAAACTGTGGTTATAAAAGTATGTAAAGAAAACATTTAAGACAATTATATATTGAACAAAGAGTAAAAAAAGGTAAGATTTTTATATTTCACTTGAAGTAACAAAATGAAGTCCCCATTAGCCTATGATAAGTTATATTATACAAATGTAACAGCTAGAGCAATCACTAAAAAAGCCATACTAAAAAACACTACAGATAAGCCACCCACCGGAAGGCAGGAAAATAGAAAACAGAGAAATGTAAAATAACATAAATAGAAAACAAATATAAAATGATAAACGTAAACCTTAATATAACAATAATTATAATAAATGTCTAAATATGCTAATTAGCAAAGTGAATTAAAAAGCATGACCTAACAATAAACTGTCCATAAGAAACTCACTTCCAATTATGATACAAGAGGCCCGGTGCACGAAATTCATGCATGGGGAGGTAGGGGGTGTCCCTCAGCTCAGCCTGCACCCTCTCCAATATGGGACATCCTTCTCACAATCCACGACTGCTGGCTCCTAACCGCTCACCTGCCTGCCTTCCTAATTGCCCCTAACCACTCTGCGTGCCAGCCTGGTAGTCCCCCTAACCACTACCCTGCTGGCCTGATTGACACCTAACTGCTCCCCTGCCGACATGATTGTCCCCAACTGCCCTCCCCTGCTGGCCCAATTGCCTTCGATTGTTGGGCTGAGGGGACTGGGGACTCCAGCTGGATGAGGTGGGACTGGGGGACTCCGGCTGGATGAGGTGGGACTGAGGGGGCTGGGTGCCACCATCTTGTGGCTATATGCGCTGCCATCGTGTGAGAGCTTGGCAGTCAATTAGCATATCCCCTCTTTATTGGCTTGGTGCCAATCTTGTGAGAAGATGATGGTCAATTAGCATATTCCCTCTTTATTAGATAGGATAGGCTGGTCAAAAGAAAAAGACATATATAAGCATTAATCAAAAGAAAGCAGAAAAGGCTGTATTAATATCAAACAGAGTAGACTTCAGAGCAAAGACAATTACACTATACAGGATGGGGCAAAAGTAGATTTACAGTTGTTCATATGGAAAATAATACAATAATTAATAAAGAGTAATACAAGAATAAATTGTGTTTTGCATACTCACAACTATAAACCTACGTTTGCCTCACTCTGTATAATGATAAAAGTGTCAACCCACCAAGAAGACAGCAATCCTAAACATGTATGCAGCAAGCAGCAGAGCAGACTGACAGAAATGAAAGAAGAGATACACAAACTCACAAAAAGTGCAGACTTCAACACTCCAAGCTCATCAATGGATAGCTCTAGAAAGGAAAATTAGCAAGTATACAAAACTCAACACCATCAACCAAGGAAACCTAATTAACATTCATAGAACATGCAACCCAGGAACAGCAAAACTACAGAACATAGGCCAAGAAAGACCATACGCTGGGCTATAAAACCAACCCTGACAAATTTATAAAAATTGAACCCACAGAGTGCTTTCCAACAACAGTGGAATCAAACTAGAATTCAACAACAAAAAGATACCAGGAAAATCTCCAAACACTTAAACTTCCCAACTCATTCTTTGGTAGTATTACCTTGCTACCAAAATCAGACAAACACATCACAAGAAAAAAATTAAAGATCAGTATTGGTATACCTTATGAATATAAATGCAAAATCCTCAACAAAATATTAGCAAAATAATTTTGGCAACTTGTAAAAAATTAATACAGTTAAGGATTAATTTGTATAAAGTGAGGTCTGGCCTTTGTCCATGACTCCTGGGTGGTAATTACTAAACCCTTCAAATGTCCTGCCTGGTAAGAGTCAACCACATCTACATGACTGAGCCCCAGTAAAAACTTCAGACACTACATTCAGTGAGCTTCCCTTCTTGTCAATACTCTATGCATATTTTCACATATTGTCAGGTGAAGTAAGTGCTGTCTGTACAACTCTACAGGGGAGGACAACAGACAGTTCCACACTTGGAACTCTGGACCCTACCCTATGGCAGGCACCTCTTACTTTAGCTGAGTTAAATTTGTATCCTTTTTATAATAAAATGTAACTGTGAGTATAACACCTTTCATTGAGTTCTATGAATCCTAGAGAATTATTAAACCTGAAGATGTTCTTGGAGTCCTCTAAACGTTGCAATGACCAAGGAAGATTTGTCCCAGGAATATAAGGTTGGTTCAACATATAAAAATCAATGAAATATACTATCTTAGAAGACTTAAAGGACAAAAAAAACACCCTAATCCTCTCAATAGATGCAGAAAAAGCACTTGACAAAAGCCAATACCCTTTGATGATAAAAACAGTTAAAGCAGGAAGAAAAGAGAACTTCTTCAAACTAATAAAGGACATCTATTAAGAAACCCACAGCTATCAATATACTTAATGGTGAAAAGCTGAAAGCTTTCTTCATAAGATGGAAACAAGGTGAGGATGTCTGCCCTTGCTACTTCTATTTAACATCGTGCTGGAAATTCTAGCCAGGACAAATGACAAGAAAATGAAGTAAAGGGCATTCAGATTGGAGAAGTTATGAAACTATCACTATTGCAGATGACATGATTTTGTATATAAAAAAAATACAAAACAAAAATTAGAGCTAATAAGTTAAGCAAGATTGCAGTATATAAAACTAACATTTAATAACCTGAAAAGGAAATTAAGAAAATAATTCCATTTATAATAGTCAAAAAGAATAAAATACTTAGGAGTATGTTTAACCAAAGAAGTGCAAGACTTGCCCACTGAAAACTATAAAACATGGAACAAAACTAAAAATCTAAATAAATGGAAAGGCATCTTGTGTTCACAGACTGTACAACTTGATGACAACATTTTCCAAATTGGTCTATAGATTCAGTGCAATCCCCATAAAAATCCTAGTTGATTTCTTAACAGAGATTGACGAGCTGATCCTAAAAACTCATATGGAAATGCAAGAACTCCAGTTAAAGCAATCTTTACAGAAGAATTTGGCCCTGCCCGGTGTGGCTCAGTGCTTGGAGTAGGGGTGTCGAACTCAATCAGAGAAGGGGCCAAAATCTAAAATCCAGCCTAAATCGCGGGCCGAATGGTTTACTGAACAGTCATAAACTGTCATTGTGATGGAAACACAGCGGAGTGCAGTGATGACAGCTCGGTGCGGGCCACATTGCAAGGCCTGGCGGGACGGATTTGGCCCGCGGGCCTTGTGTTTGACACATGTGGCTTAGAGGGTTGTCCTGCACATAGAAGAAAGGTTGCAGGTTCGATTTCCAGTCAAGGGCACATACCTGGATCACAGGTTCATTCCCTGCCCTGGCTGGGTGCACATGCAGAGGGCAACTAATCAATGTATCTTTCACAACAATGTTTCTCTCTCTTCCCCTTTCTCTCCCTTATACTCTCTCTAAAAATCGATGGAAAAATAATCCTTGGGTGAGGATAAATAAACAAACAAACAAAGTTCCTTGGAAGACTCTCACATTTCCCACTTCAAAATTTACCACAAAGCTACAGTAATCAAACAGTGTGATATTGGCATAAAGACAGACATACATATCAATGGATTAGAACAGAGAGCCCAGAAATAAACCTTTGCATATTGGGCAATTTTCAATAAGGTACCAAGACCATTCAATGGCAAAAGGATGATGTATTAAACAAGTAATGGTGGGAACACTGAAAATCTACAGGTAAAAAAGAAAGAAGTTGAATCCTTAACTAAGACCATATATAAAACATTAACTTAAAATAGACTGTAGAACTAAAACTATAAAACTCTTAGAATAAAACATAGGAGGAAAGCTTCATGATCTTGGGTTTGGCAATTTCTTGGATAACACATGAAAAACACAGGCAAAAAAAATTTGACTCAAGAAAAATTTAAAATTTTGTGTATCAAAGGACACTAACAACTGAGTAAAAGGGCAACCCACAGAATTGGAGAAAATATTTGCAATCACTTATCTAATAAGGGATTAATATCCAGAATATATAAAGAACATCTAAAACCCAATACCAAGAGACAAGTAACCTGTTTAAAAAATAGGCAAAGGAACTGAATAAACATTTCTCCTAGGAAGATATATGGATGACCAATAAGCACATAAAAAGATACTCAACATCACTAATCATTAGGGAAATGAAAATCAAAGAAACATTGAGAGACTGCTTCATACTCATTAGGATGGTTCTCAAACAAGCAAACAGAAAACAAGGATTGGGAAGGATGCAAAAAACTGGAACCCCTGTACACTGCTGAAAGGATGGTGAAATAGCATGGCAACTGCGGAAAACAATGTGGCAGTTCCTCAAAAAGTTAACACATGTCCCAACAATTCCAATAGTAGGTATATAGCCAAAAGAACTGCAAACATACCTTCAACAAAAACTTGAATACAAATGTTCATAGCAACATTATTCATAACTAGAGGCCTAGTGCACGAAATTTGTGCAAGGGGGGGAGGGGTGTCCCTCAACCCAGCCTGCACTCTCTCCAATCTGAGACCCCTTGAGGGATGTCTGACTGCCTGTTTAGGCCCAATTCCACTGAGCTGGCTCCCTACCACTCACTTGCCTTCCTGATTGCCCCTAACTGCTTCTGCCTGCCAGCCTGATCAACCCCTAAATGCCCTCCTCTGCCAGCCCGATTGCCCCTAACTGCCCTTCTCTGCCAGCCTGGCCATTCCTAACTGTCCTCCCCTGCTGGCCTGGTTGCTCTCAAATGCCTTCCCCTGCTGGCCTGGTAACCCCTAATTAAGCTCCCTTTCCAGCCTAGTTGCCCCTAACTGTCATCCCCTGTTGGCCTGGCCGCCCCCAACTGTCCTTCCCTGAAGACCTGGTCCCCTCAACTGTCCTCCCCTGCAGGCCTGGTTGCCCCCAATTTCCCTCCCCTGCAGCCTGGTCCCCACCAACTGCCCTCTCCTGTCACCATCTTGTAGTGGCCATTTTGTGTCTACATGGTGGTGGCCATAATTGACTACATGGGGGCAGCCATCTTGTGTGTTGGAGTGATGGTCTATTTGCATAGTGTCTTTTATTAAATAGGATAGCCCTAAATGAAAATAACCCAAATATCCATTAGTTGATAAATGGATAAACTGGAATATTACTCAGCTTTGAAAATGAATGAAGTATAGCATAAGTGAACCTTGAAAATAAATTTTACTAAGTGAAAGAAGCCAGTCACAAAAGGCCACGTACAATATGATTCCATACATATTAAATATGTATAATCAGCAAATCCACTTAATCAGACAATAGATAGTATTTCCAGGGACTGGAGGAGAGAATGGGGCTTCTTTTGGGGATAAAAATGTTTTGAATTAGGAAATGGTGATGGTTATACATTCTTTGCGAATATACTAAACACCAGACATGGTACTCCTTAAAAGGATGAATTACATAATGTGTGAATTAGATCTTAATAAAAAGAAAAATTAAATTTATAAGTAAAAAAAAAAAAAAGATTCAGAGTAAATTCTGCTGGAAGTTGAACAGACAGCAGTAACCTCACCTGCTCGTAGATCTCGATGGCTTTCTGGTATTGCTCAAGCTGGGCAGCATATGCTGCCACCTTCAGCAGACACTTGTTAGCTGAACTGAAATCAAGAACCAGAGCAAAGTAAGCAACAGAGAAATAAAAAGACACCCAGTACTCTTTCATTTGGTACAGTACAGTACACTTCGCTAACAGAATATAGCAAAGATTTATCTTTTATCACACTTAACAAAAATCCATTTAATTATGTTAAAAGTAATACTTGCCTGTTGGATTCTTCTCCTTTGTAATAATCAGCCGATTGTTCATAATGTGCAATAGCCTGAAAACACACACACATCTTATTCAAACCACTTGTTTAAAGAGTTGTTTTTAAAAAACTACCCTTGCATGGGTATTTTTTCTTATAAATAAAACTATCCCAATAGTAAACCTTTCACAACTTGGCCTACTTCATTCAGGGAACACAAAAATGCATGCACCTCTGGAAGCCTGGCAGCAGACTGCTTGCTGTCCATCAAAATCTCTTATCGCCCTCCCCCATGGCAAATTCCCAGCTACACCACTTCGCCAGCCTGCACTGCAGTTAGAGCAGCCATGAGACTTATTCCTTCCAATGGAATATAAACAAACATGCTGTAAACCACTCCCAGGCTTGGTCCATAATCTGACTCTGCATCCTTCTCCAGGCCTTCTCCCTTCTCATGAGCCAGCATGGCAATAAAATAGCCAAGTCTAGGGTGACAAAGGAAACCACGAGCTAAAGGTAGCAGGACTTTTGTCAGCCTGGTTCCTAACTAAATACAAAAGGCAGAATGGACCTCAAACCCCATGCCTCACCACTGCCAAACGCAGAGCAGCTATGCTGGATTGTTATTTCTGAGATATGTGAAGCCTATTAAATTTAGATTTAAGGTTTGCTAAAGCAGCACACATTATCCTCACTAATAACCTAAGTGTCACCTAGATTAAAGGTCTTGTTTTCACTCTAAAATGTGTGGTGCTGAATTAACAGACACGTGGAAAAGAAAGAGTGCAGGCTGGAAAGCTAGAATTTCTGGTCCTGTGGGACACAGATTAGGTGAAATCAAGCACATGACAACTCAGAAGGCAAACACTGCAAGCTGCTCTTTCTCTTGAGAACGCCTGTGCCTTTCCCTACCCCTGTGGTCTTTCCCCAGGACTCCCTCTCTCCTCTAGGGCAGACTTAGGTGTTCCCGCCTCTCCTTCCTCCTGGCACATTTTCTTTGCCTTTCTTATTCCTAAGTTCCAAGGACCCTTCTTTTTGCCTCTGTAACTTGTTTCTTGAGCCCACGCAGTCCAGCTGGCTCACTTCTTCCAGGGCTCGCTTGTTCTACCTCTGAGACGAAATAAACTTTGCTTGTATTTGAAACACACACACACACACACACACACACACACACACACACACCACGTGCCTATTGGAGCTGGAAACAAGGGAAATAAGGTCTATGGAAAGGGCCAGATGATAGTATGCACTATTTTTTAGCCAGGTTTTATAAGGAAAAAGAACTGAAGGAATTAGCTGGTTCATGAAAAGAAACAAAGTCCAGAAATAGAATAAAATTGTAAAGGTCAATACAATAAGGGCAAGAGGTAAGTATAAACAATGTTTTAAATTATGGGTCAGAAACACTTTTCTGTAACAGACCAGATAATAATAGGCTTTATGAACTTTGTATCTCTCCTCAGGTAGCACAAAAGCAACCACAGATGATGCATAAATGAAGGACTGTGGCTATATGCAAATACACTTTATTCAGGGATAATACAATTTCAGTTTAATTTAATTTTTGTGTTATGAATGCTTTTCCCTCAATGATTAAAGAGTCAGAAAATCATTCTTAGTTTCCAGACATATATAAACAGCTGGTAGATTTGTAGATCCCTGCCTTCAAGGTTTTTCCAGTAAACCTGAAAGAAACCTGTGAGAAAATCAGATTGCAGATGCTGTCCACCAGTTCAATGGCTTCGAGGCAGTTCTAATGAGTTACGAGAGGCTCAGGGACAGAAGACACACAAATAAAATATAAGAGGTTAGGGAAGTGTGTTAGGAAACACTCTGGTGTGCTTACGGGCACAGGGGACTGTCTGGGAGCAAACAGACCTGGCCCATAAAGCGAATGGTCCCCTTTCCTGCAGGTGGTAATGGTTATAACCAAGAATGCAGAGCCACAGGCTGAAGGGGGCAGAGCCAACATTAGCCTTGTCTGGACTGCAGTTTTTTTGTTTTTGTTTAAAAAAAAAAAAAATTATATATATATATATATATATATATATATATATATATTATTGATTTTTCACAGAGAGGAAGAGAGAGGTATAGAGAATTAGAAACATTGATGAGAGAGAATCATTGATCAACTGTCTCTTGCACACCCCCTACTGGGGATGTGCCCGCAACCAACGTACATGCCCTTGACCGGAATCAAACCTGGGACCCCTCAGTCCGCAGGCCAATGCTCTATCCACTGAGCCAAATCGGTTTCGGCTGGACTGCAGTTTTTAACAAAACGGAACAGTTTTTTCTTTTTTTCCATTACCATACCCTCCTATACCCTCATCTACCTCCACTCCCCGCCCTCTCCACCCTCCCCCGCCGTAATCTCCATACTGTCATCTGTGTCCATGATTTCTTTCTTTTTTTCCCTTTTTTGCTCAACCCATTCCACCACCTCCCTCCACCCCCCCCCCCCCCCCCAAAGTTGTATGCCTATTCTCTACCTATGAGTCTGGACAATTTTGTGAAAAATAGACACTTCTGTGTGTGAATGATCATGTTTTGGGTCTATTTATTCCAGCCACTTAGCCTATCCCAGTGGTTGGTAAACCGTGGCTGGTGAGCCACATGCAGCTCTTTGGCCACTTGAGTTTTTAGCAAAGGCCAGCTTAGGAGTACCTTAATTAAGTTAATAACAATGTACCTACCTAGATAGTTTAAGTTTAAAAAATTTAGCTCTCAAAAGAAATTTCAATCATTGTACTGTTGATATTTGGCTCTGCTGACTGATGAGTTTGCCGACCACTGGCCTACCCAAACTAATATGCTCCTCTCCACCAAATTTTCTCAGCATTATTTAAACTAGAGTTCTGATGCATGAAATTCATGCATTGATAGGGTTCCTAGGCCTGGATGGCTGGCAGGGCCAATCTGTGGGGCGACTGGCAGGACGACTGGGAGGGAGGTCCCCCGCTGGCACTCGCCTTGGCTGGCCTGGCACTGCCTGCCCACCAGCCCTGCCCTTGCCCCCACCGCAGGTCGCCCTCATCTGCAGAAGTTGACCAATGGGGTGATTGAGGGCCTGCCCGGCTGCCCCTTGCTGCCGCAGGTTGCTTCCCTCTGCAGGGCAACCAGGTGGCCCTGCTAGCACCCGCCTTGGCTGGCCCAGGGCCTGTGGGCTGGAGGCAGCTCCTGCATTGAGCATATGCTCCTTGGTGGTCAGCGTGCATCATAGTGACCAGTCACCAGCCATTCCGCTGTACTGTTGATTTGCATATTAGGCTTTTATTATATAGAGAAAATGGGAACAATTTAAATGGGTAAGTATAATGAGCTACCTTGCTATGATTAAAAGTAATGGATAGAACATTCACTATGGGAAGTTCTTTATGAAATCTTAAAGCCATAAAAGAATAGGTACACTATAATCCTCTCTTTACAAGTACATAGGTTGAAAAGAGTTGAGTTGAACTACCATGTTTCCCCAAAAATAAGACATCCTCTGAAAATAAGACCTACTTACAGGTTTCCGAGTGAAATATAAGGCATCCCCCGAAAATAAGGCCCCCCCAGGCTAAACATGAGAGATTTGGTCCACTGATTCTGAAAGAAATGGAGTCACAAGAAATTCACCAGGAAATTCAGGAATTGGATTGTTATGATGATGTTCTAGAAGATGATGACATGATTGTTATTGAATAAATGAGTAAATTCTTGATACTGTAGGATTCAGTTTGTCTGGTTTGAGTTGACAACTACCATACTACTGTACTGTATACAGGTAATAAATTTCCTTTATTTTCATTTAACAATAAATGTGTACCATGTTCTTCTTCATGGAAAAATTAAGACATCCCCTGAAAATAAGACCTAGCGCATCTTTGCGAGCAAAAATTAATACAAGACACTGTCTTATTTTTGCGGAAACAGGGTATTTTGGAGGTTAAAAAGACAAAAGAGGCCCAATGTCAAAATTTGGTTTAGCCTAATACTTATTAAATAACAATACTGGTTCATCAAAATGTTATAACTGTGAACTTCAGCTAGGTTTATTATAATAAAAGAAAAATTTTAATTTAGTTTTTAATAATGCTAATTAAGCCAATAATAAAAAATTATGGTTTTCCCAAGTTTTGACAGAGACTGAAGTTGAAAGGAGAGCTTATCCACTGGCTTAGAGCAGTTTCAGAGTAAACCTGTTGACCACGGGTTATATTGATGTTCCACCTAGTTTGGAGTTTTAACTGGTAGTGAAACTTAGAAAGCATACGCAGAACATTTCACACTAGAAATCAGCCCACTGTAAGTTACAGTCCCAAAGACAATAATATAAGAAGTAGAACACAGCAACCAACAACAGTAGCACACATAACAGTAAGCCCAGAAACCACCCAGCTGACTGTCCTGTGCGTAAGTGGCACGCCACAGGGGTCACAAGCCTCCCGGGAGAGCTGGGCCAGTGGCACGGTGCCACGGAATACATGGTGCCTGAAAGGAAACAAGGCTTTCTAGGACTGACCATCGTCATTAAGGCAAATGCAACTCCCAGGGTGCACTTTGTAGGTAAAACAGCTTTAAATATGGGATCAATTCTTTTAGAACACATACCCCCAAACAGGACTTAACAAGAACTGGACACACTACACATAACAGTAACAAACAGTACTAAATCAGGTCCTTTAGGGACTTAAGACAGAAATGAGTCATAATTCCTCTGGACCATTTAAAAAGGACCTATTTATTAGTTGGTTCCATGTTTCACTTCATGAAGTCAAAGAAATAATGTGAATTTATGAAACTTCACTGTTCACTAGCTAAAATCTGTGAATAAATCAGACGACATATTAAAAGGAAAGAAATTCATTCGTCAGAAACCAGATATAAAGTACTTGTGTACTTAGTTTAACTGATTTTTTCAAATAAACTTCACACACCAACCAAAATCTGATAGATCCACCAGAAACTCGAAGACAATGTTTCTAAACATAGGATGCCAAACATCAGAGAACACAATAAGCTAACCTGTGTGTGCCGAGTAATATTCTTAAATTGCTTTTTTAAAAAGAACACAATGAAAAAAGACCAGCTCATAGAATGGCAGGAACACTGTGAGTAGTGAGCAATGGAGGTTTCAGAAGCTGTGTGGCAAATCATCAAATTTTTTTATAAAGAAAGAAAACAAGAGTGCACCATACGTCATTTTATCCACCCTCAATGTTGAGGAAACCCCTGTGGTGAAGTGGTTGCCAAGCCCAGGCCCTGACAGCAGAGATGACACAGAGCACTTCAGGCTTCCGCCTCCAGAGGGCTCTTCTCACCACCGTGGACAGGAGCGCACTGGCTTCAGCTGGCAAGATGACACATGAGTGCTCATCTCCCCAAGACCGAGGACGCCTTGGAAAGGACAGCGAGAGGTGCTGAGACTTGGGAGTTCCGAGGACAGTGCCCACAGAAACTGCTCACAGGTTGGATGTGGAGAAAGAGAAAAGGCAAGTATGCCTGTGATCTGGAGGAGGAACATCAGGAGAAAAGGAAGGCCAGGTCAGGACTCAGTCTTACACATGCCTGCCTTGAGTTTACAGTCGAGAGGTTGACAGACATGGGGACGTAGGAATCTAAAGCTCAGGGAGAGGTCTGAGGTCTAGGCTGCAGTCAGCTCTGCAAGTCCTGGGATACAGCCGATACTTAAAGTTGTGATGCTGAGTGAGTACACATAGACATATTGAGGGAGCAAGACGGAGAGAAGACGACAACCCAACTCTGGGGTCACGCTATAGGGTGAGAAGAAGAAAAGGAACCAGCTAAGGAGTCAGGAAGAAAGTGCTCAGTGAGGTAGTCAGAGAACCAGGCGGGAGACGTGGTCCAGAAGCCAAGAAAGAAATAAAACAAAGGAGAGGAAGAGTGACAACTGTCCAATGCCAGGGCAGGCACGGGGAGTGCCACAGCCACCGAGCTAGGAGGCAGCTGGAGTCTTTCAGCTGCTTAGTGCTCATTAGCCTGAGAGTGATGATCTGGTTCACACCTGTTCCATCGCAGCACTCAGGAGGATAGTTTTACATAAACATTTGTCTCCAGTCTGAGTAGAGGCAGCCTCTGAAGTGAGGCCAATGTGTTTTCCTCTCACCACGGTACACTCCAGCCCTGCAGGAGATCCCCTGACAGCGGGAGACAAGAGAGTGCTGGGCCTGAGTGAGCAGAGGCAGTGTAACCATTTGAGTCCTAGTTTTTCCATAGCCATAGAGCTGAAATGTGGTAAAATTCATGGCAAGCTACAAAGGACGTTTGGAAAACAGAATTTGCTCAGTAAGTGTTTCCTTCTTCCTCTTTTCTTCTGCTACTAGAGACATAGTACCTTGTTTTATTGCATTTGCTAATACTGCATTGTCATCAACATCAAAAAATCATCCAACCAGCAAACAGATTAGGACTTGCTGAATGCTCAGGTGATAGTTTTTTTTAAGTAATAAAACCTTTTTATTAATAAATGTATATACACTCTTTTAATAGACATAATGCTACTGCACACTGAACAGGCTACAGTAGTAAATCCTCACTTAATGTTGTCGGAAGGTTTTACAACCTAAAGTTAAATGACATAACATAACCAATTTTACCATAGGGCGATTAATATACAGAAGAGTTACTAGTGAGTTCCTACAGAATCTCATCATTATAATGGAACAACGCTGAACAAACAATGTATACTAGGATGTGCTGTATAGTGGACACATAACTTTCATATGCACTTGCACACTCACATGTGTGACTCTCTTTATTGTGCTTTTCACTTCATAGTGGTGGTTTGACACCAAACCCATAATATCTCCAAGGTATGCCTGTATAAGTCACCACATAAAAAGCCAGGCTTGAGGGAGGCAGACATGTGGCCAAGTTGGTGTTCACCTACCTTCTTCCCCAGGTTGCAAAGATATGTAACTGTACTTAAGCTTCCTTCCCAGGGCTACAGAAGCCTCAGCAAAAGAGATGAAGATTCTAACATGAATCACATAAGCAGACACAGCAAGTAAATCTTAACCAGCTCTCGCCTCAGATACGGTACTTACTCGGGGAAAACAGTTTCTCTCCTCCTCAGCCACCAAGCCCCTAAAGCTTCCCCGTGTAGTCATGCCATTACTGGTCACTCTACTCCATTCAACTCTGCTGGGAGAGGCAGGAGTCCCTGGAGTCAACTCCCTGCTTCACACCAAGGTTAAAAAAATCTGACCCATTGCTTACCTTCTCGATGTCTACAAGTTCAGTCTCATAAATCTCAGCAATAGTGATGTGGTGTTTGGCTGCGATTGTAAACCTTCCCTGGGGGAAAACAAAAAACAGAGTTACATTCCTGTTTTACCTATTTTAATGCCACCAGTGTAGGAACCAGATAAAAACAAAAATACAACTCTAAGCCATGTCAAGGAGTCCACCCCACAGTTACTCAAGCAAGGTAATGTCTTACCATGTCTGTGTAAATGTCGATGGCTGCATTTAAGCAGTTGATAGCCTCTGAAGCGTAGGCATTTAAGAAAAACAATGAAAAATCCATTCAGTCAAAGAGGGTTCAAGTGAGCCTATTTTCCTAGCTGCTACCAGAACAGGAGGTCCATTTGGGGCAGAAGGTGGGCATATTAGTTAAAGAAAAACAAACATAAATCACACACAAGTCCAGGCCTCTTCAGCATACTCCAACTGGAGCTAGGGTGGTTCTGGCTTGGTTACTCTAAATCTAAGTGGGGACTCCATCCAGGGGAGAGATTGCATTATAAAGCAAAAATGGGACTGTCATCAACACCACGCAAATGTAAATGTATTTTTCAATGACGTCATATATACATATTAATTTTGGAAGAAAGTTCTGTATAAGAAAAACACTTCAATAGGCTACTCTTCATGCAGCCAAAATCAAAAGCACTTTGAAGTCCCTGTTCAGAGAATTCTTAAGTAAAGTCAACATTTTGTACAATATTAAAGATATTAACGTTTGGTCTACTAACATACACACAAAGAAATTAAAAAATCTAGTCAGTGACAATGTTAATAAAGTATATTCTTTTCCCAAAAGTTAGGCTGTGTTCAGAACCAACACTCCATCACAAAATGATGGCATTTATAATTCTGCACTGTCCGACAGCTCCACATTTATTGCTTCTACAAAAGAAGTGGCAGAGTAAAAAAGCCTACCTAAAAAAATCAGAAAGTAGATGAAAAGAAGTTAAAAGCTATTTCCTCCTAAACTATGTAAGAAATGTGAATTCATTGTCATTCCTTTAAAACTACAGAAAAATATAGAGAAAAATAAGCTATCTATAATCCCACTCAAACCCACTCTTCATTTCCAGTATTTTCTAGATGCATTTCTATGTGCACAGACTTTATTGTGAATTTGAGATCTCAATTCTCATGTGGTTTTTCAGTTACCATGTAAACATTGACCAGGTCACTAAAGACTCTGAAATGAAGGATTGTAGTCACTGCATCATGTTCTACAATACTGTTGTATTATAACTTTATCATTTCTTTTTTCTACTTTTAATATACATATTTGTATTGATTTCAGAGAATAAGAGAGGGCGAGATGGAAATATCAAGATGAGAATCACTGATTAGCTGTCTCTTGCATGCCGCCTACTTGGTATCGAGCCCACAACCCGGGCATGTGCCCTTGACCAAAATCAAACCTGGGACCCTTTAGTTCACTGGTTGTGGCTACCATTCTTATCACACTGCTCATTAGGCTGTGTTCAGTTTTTCACTTTTGGGAAAAAACCATGGTCAATTTCTACACAAAAGCCCTTGAAAATATCTTATTTCCGTATGATATAATCATAAAAGTTGGAATTTCTATGTTAAAATGGATTGCTAAAAGAAAAAAGAGAAACCCCATAGCTACCAGTGCATGTGTTACAGGGAAGGAATTAATACTTTTAATTATTAAATGTGAACTCTTCTAACTAAAAGAAATAGAACATTTGCAAAATTTTACCACTTTAAATATCCAACTTCGCTCTTTGCTTAAAACAAATACTTTGAAAAACACTTTAATCAGTCAGATGAATACTGTGTAAATAAGTTGATTTTAACCAGCAGATACTGCCCTGACAGGGTAGCTCTGTTCGTTAGTGTTGCTGGGATATGCTAAGGTTGCAGGTTTGATCCCCGGTCAGGACACATATAAGAATCAACCAATCCTATCTAATAAAAGAGCAATATGCAAATTAACAATCACTCTGATACATCCACAAGCCAATCAGAGCAAGTATGCAAATTAACCCTAACCAAGATGGCTGCAGCCTCAGAGAGCAGGAGGGAGGTTTGGGTTTCCCTGGCAATGGAGGAAGCCAAGCTTTCTGCACACCCTGGAGGCTCAGGCTTCCACTCAAGGGTATAAAGTTTCAATTACAGAAGGTAAATAAATTTCAACAGAAATGGTGGCAGCCACTGAGCTGGAAGAGCAAGAGGCTAGGGTTGCCCCAGGTGATGGCCTAGGCCTCCACTCCAGGCTACAAAATTTCAATTATATTGTAGAAGGTAAATAAGTTCCAACAAAAATGGTGGCAGCCACGGAGCAAGCAGGAGGCTCAGCTCCACTCCAGGCTACAAAGTTTCAATTGTAGAAGATAAATTCCAAATTCCAGATACCAGGGCCTACACTTGGATCGGTGGGCGAGGGGGGGCGAGGGGGGGGGTGGCTAGCCTGTAAACTACCACAGGCCCCTAACCCAGGCCTCACCCCCCCCCCCCCGCCCTAGAGGAACCCCACCCTGATCTGGGACACCCTTCAGGGCAAACCAGCTGGCCCCCATTCATGCAAGAGGCATCTATCCGATCTAATATAAGAGTAATATGCAGATTGACCATCACTCCAACACACAAGATGGCTGCCCCAATATGGTCAAAGATCCTGCCCCCACTTGGACACAAGATGGCCACCACAAGATAGCCAGCAGGGGGTGGGCAGTTGGGAGGGACAAGGCCTGCAAGAGAGGGCAGTTGTGGGCAATCAGGCAAGCAGGGGAGGGTAGTTGGGAGGCACCAAGCCTGCAAGAGAGGGCAGTTGGGGGCAATCAACCCTGCAGAGGAGGGCAATTAGGGGTAACCAGGCCAGCAGAGGAGGGAAGTTGGGGGCAAACAGGCTGGCAGGGGAGCAGTTAGACATCAATCAGGCTGGCATGGGAGTGGTTAGGGTGTGATCAGGCTAGCAGGCAGAAGCTGTTAGGGGCAATCAGGAAGGCAGGCAGACAAGCAGTTGAGAGCCAGCAGTCCTGGATTATGAGAGGGATGTCCCAGATTGGAAAGGGTGCAGGCTGGGCTAAGGGACACCCCCCAAAGCCCGTGTATGAATTTCGTGCACCAAGCCTCTAGTGAATATATAAATAAGTGGAACAGCAAATTGATGTTTCTTTCTCTCTCAAAAACAAACAAACAAAAAAGCCCCAACATCTAATATTCTAATTTCCCATTAACTGGATCTTAAAATGTGCTAAGTATTTAAGAGTAAAAGAACATGGGCATTTCCTCTAGTAAACAATATTCATAAAATTAGGACATAATAAGTCTTAGATAAAATTAAAGCTAATTTCTAAAAAGTTCTCCAAAATGCAACATAAATGAAGTTTAAGAAAATGCTGTTAAGCAACTATACCACCAGGTTAAATTTAACATATCTTCTCTTCATTAAAGCTGCAAATGATTAAACAACGATTCTTAAAAATTACCAAAATCTCTATTATTCCAAAGTACAAAAGTTTATTTTTATCAGCGCTCTAAAGGTCCAGTCCTACCATCCTAAGAGCAGCGATTTTCAACCTTTTTCATCTCATGGTACACACGAACTAATTAGTAAAATTCTGTGGCACACCAGAAAATATAGTATATTTTTTGCTAATCTGACCAAAAAAAAAAAAAAAAAAAGTATAATATTGATTCATTCACACCGGACAGTATTGCTGCGTTGGCTAGTGTCATTTTTAAAATTTGACAATCTAAGGGAAAAGAGCACAGTGCCCATAACTAAATAGTCAAGTATTTCATGGCTTAATAAAAATTATTGTGGCTCACCGGTATGCCACGCACACAGGTTGAAAATCGCTGTCCTAGACAGAGGTGTGTCTTACCGTGAGGGTCTGCCTTTTTGTAAGCATTCCCAGCATCCACAAAGCTGGTGGCAGAATCATGTTTGCTCTGAAGCTGCATATGGAGTTTGGCTGCCTGACAAAATGCATTTCCTGCAGCTGAGGGAGATAAATTAGTACAATTAAACAGAGAGGAACAAGTATCCCTACAGAAGAGCCCATGCCCTAAGTGCTAGAAAGTTCCATGCCTCTGAAAGAAGTATTCCAGTCAGAAGCACATGGAAATGCAATCAATGCCTCTTAGTCAGAATCAAGTCAAACAGTGAGAGAAGCTTCTCTCAGCCACAGAAGACCTCCCAAGTGGGCCCTCGGCTATCAGTTTCCATTTAATAGCAACAGCCTAGTACCAGGCCACTCAATGTTATCCCACAGCGCATCCTGAACGCAGGCTGAAGCTACTAATGTTTGAAGAAAGGTAAAACGCTGAGGTCATCTTTCCATCTTACAGCGTCCCCGGACTTAGTTGTTATTGTTGAATTGCTAATGAAGGCTTCCTGGACAAAGAAAGTTTCTCAAAGAGTGATAATTAGGCCTTCAATTGTGGAATCCAAAGTTTTTCCTTAAGTTCTGGAATAGGGAAGTAAGTACTAACAGGAATGGAGAGGAAAGGGTTTATTCCACCAGGAAAAGCACAATTAAGAATATCACAAAACCTTTTGGTATTAAAAAAAACAAACAAAAAAAACACAATTCAAAACCTTACAGAAAATAGAATGAGATACCTAAGTACCCACTGCTGGTATTTCTGGGCAAGATTGAAAGCGTGCCCATGAAGTATTTAACCATCAGCATGGAAGAGAGAACCCTGCCCACCAGGCTTTAATGCTTCCTGGATGAATCATGAGGGGCTCCCAGGGGAGGGGCCAATGCCACTGCAAGGTTGTGGGTAGGCCCTTGAAGTACCTGGGCAGCAGCTAACTTCTAAGTGACAGTTCAGGAACATATCAGCTAGATGTGAGCTTTGATGGGCTCTGCCTCAGAAGAGTATAGTCAGAACGTGGATCTCCCAAGTAAAGTGCTCAGACTGGCTCCAGTTCCATGTGTTGGTCATTATCCTTATTACATGCAAATCTACCCTACAACTAATACCAGTAGTTTGGTATGTATGTTTAAATATTATCACTCCCTTTATACCCTACATCTTTCCTCTTCTACCAGTAACTTCATTTTCTGCAGTTTATCTATGCTGACTGTCCCAGAGCCACTGATGGTCCATCTTTCCTCACTGAGTATAATACCACGACTCCAGGCTCTCTAGGGCTGGCTCCATTCCCCCAGATAATATTAAATTTTGATTTTATCTTTTCATGCTCCAAAACTAATTGCTGGCTTACTTTTTCACTGAGCACTCATTCTAATCACTGCTAACAAATGCCAGCTCAATTTCCCCAAACTGAAAAGTGTATTTAAAAGAGCAGATATGACTAAAGTCATACAACTTCTCAAGCTAAATTTCTTCACCTGTAAAACTGGTCTAACACCTGCCAGGATGATCTCTCACAAACTCAGCATCAATCAAATTAGATTAATCTTTATACCTTTTAAAACTAGAGATGCAGTGGTATTACGATAACTACCACTGCTACGCAGAAATAATTTCATAGAATCTAATATTTAGCTATTTATTACATGAGTATCCTGAGCAGGTCCTGCAGGTATAGCAGAGATGGAACACCCTGGATTTCTATGGTTTGCATTCTAGTGAGGAGACAGCACATAATAAAAACACATACACAATATAAATTAGTAAACATTTTTTTCAATTAATTTTGCTAGGTAGTGGATTGCTGTCTTTAAAAGGATTGACCAGGGAAGACCTCACTGAGAAGACGATATTTGAAGGAGATAAACAGAATCGGCTATACTCTATTTTGAGGAAAGAGTGCCAGAAAGGGCTTTGAGGAGGGAGTGGAATGAATGAGGGGAGTGGGTAGGAGATGAGGTATGAGATAAAAAGAGTCAGTGATCAGAGATCAGGTAAGTCCTAGAAGACCACTGTTAAGGACTTTAGCTCTTATTTGACATAAGCTGATGTGTTTGAACGGAATTACTTAGGTGGTTCATAAAAACAGACTAGAAAAAAATGCAGAAGCTGAAAGATCAGAGTAGGCAAGAGATGATGGGGAGGGTAAATACAAAGCCTCTTTACATGTATTAATGTTAATAGCCTCTCTAAAATGGAATTTCCTTACGTTTATCTGATCACCAGATAAAATAAGCGGTCTTTTTAGATAAGAGCACTCTTTCTTTACTATTATTGCAGACCAAGGAACAAAACAAATGATGTAAATGCTAAGATAATATTCTCTTCTTTTTTTTTTTTCCCCCCCAGTACTTTAAAATTCAGGCATAAGTGTATTTTGAAAATACATAACATGGCCTTTTTATCTAGAACTAAACCTACAAAAAATCTTGTAAAGCCAGAAAAAGACCTTTCAGATTCATCTAGTTTAACAGCATTTTTTTCATTGAAATGATTTTTAAAAGCAAATGGGCAAACCAGCCTTAAACTTACAGAAAATTCTGTGTCAATTATCTAAAATAATCTGTTATAATAAAAGCATAATATGCTAATTAGACCAGACAGCTGGAAGACCTTCCGGACACAGCCAGAGCTGTGAGAATCAAGGCAAGCCTCTGTGGCTGCAAGGGCGGAGCCCCTTGCACGAATCCGTGCATCAGGCCTCTAGTATCTTAATAAAGCTGAGGGTGGAAGGAACAGGAAATGGGGAAATGAACTCACAGAGGGCGAGGACCCCAATGTAGGCCAGGGTGCAGAGAGCATAGCCCTGTTCTGGTTGAAGGCCATCTTCAGTTCACTAAAGAAATGCCCTACCAGGACAAGCCCCTTTTTCTAGGGACAGGGATAACTTTGTTTCTCAAGCAGTGTCAGAAAGAAACATCCCCTCTCAGACCAATGAAAATAATAATTGTTGATTTTGTTAGGTGTAATTTCACTGGGTAGAAAGCATGACTTTAAAACATGATAATAAGTCTGTTGGGGAATACATAAGTAACGCTCCTATTGTCACATTTCTCAGTGGAACCACAATCAATTATCACAGAGTTGTTCTCAGAGCAAGAAGTAGAAGTTCTCTACTAATGTTCTTGAAAAGAAAAGTAGGCATTTTTATTTATCTGATTTGTTTTCTTTCTTTTCTTTTTTTTTTTTTTAATATATACCCAATATTTTATTGATTTTTTTACAGAGAGGAAGGGAGAGGATAGAGAGCCAGAAACATCGATGAGAGAGGAACATCGACCAGCCGCCCCCTACACACTCCCCACTGGTTTCATTGAGTTTTACTACAACTTCCAATCTTTATGGCAATAGATTTATTTGAGTATATTAGTAAGAAGTAAAAATTACAGTTTGATCCTCAGTCAGGGCATATTTGAGAGGCAACCAATCTATGTATCTCTCATATTGATGTTTCTCTGTCTCTCCCTTCCTTCCTCTCTAAAGTAAAAAATAAATAAATAAATAAATAAATAAATATTAATACTAATACTAAAACAGACCCAGTCCTTACATTTAAATTTTATGTCAGGATTTCAACTTGATTCACTAAATCAAGGTCCTTTAATCCCAGTTCTTGGTGGCTGCACCAGTGATTCAGCACTGACACCTGGCTTGAGGCCAACAGTCTTATTCTAAGGGGACAGAAGTCATTTCCTCCTTCAAAATGACTTTTAAAGTATCTGCCTCAAAAGCAAGCAAACAAAAACTGTATACATACCACTCCAATTTTTAGCCATCTTGAACATATTTGCAGCTCTGGTGTACATTTCACAAGCCTCTTCTATTCTCGTGTTTCCTCTGAGAAAAATTTAAAAAAAGAAAGATTAAGTTTTTCTATAATAACCACCCATATCCCTAATCCTCAAATAATAATTATTTAATGAGCACATACTATGTACCAGCAGTATAGAATCCTAACAGCTGCTTAAAGAGGATACTCTTATTCCTATTTTCCAGGTGAGGAAACTAAGGCAAACAAAAATAAAGTAGCTAGCCTAAGGTTACATAGCAAGGATGCCCCAGATCTGGCTGACCACGGATCTTTACCCTTAATCAGAGTCCTTTCCATGCATGCAAACTAAAGTTTATATCAGTCTGAGAAATCAGAAATACCTTTTTCAGAGGAGATTAAAATTGGAAGGATAAAGACATCTTTACCAAGTTAATTTCTAACAGTTTGGTGCTATGTTTATTTAGATTAAAAATAAAAACAAAGCCTGAATCAAGAGCATATAAGAGTCACACTGCTCTGTGGCTAATATTACCTGTCAGCTGTGGCAGGGAGGAAGCCCTTCCCCAATGTGGAAGGAGCCTTTGGGTCCTGCCACTCATTGGTGTGGAAATGCGTTTTCTAATATCCTTAGAGGAGGGAACTCCACTGCTGCTTTCAGAACATTCCGTTCTAGAAAGTTCTTCACCAGACAGCTCATTACATTGAGGAACAGTTTTAGCTGCTTAGGAATTTCTTCTCACATAAAGACCAAAATAATACTCTATAACTTCCACCAATTTTCAAAACCAACCAAATTAACCTTGTTTTCACTAAGCACAGGCCCCTCAATTAAAGACGTTCCTCTATCTTATCTATGTTATAAACACAGAATAACCAGAGGAAAACCATGAGACAGCAGACTGTAACTGTGAAGTACATATGATGAGTAACTGAGAGTGAAGTATGGACAAAAGCACTAATAGCTCTAGCCAATTTGGCTTAGCGGATAGAGTGTTGGCCTGCAGAATTGAGTCCCAGGCTCAATTCCAGTCAAGGGCACCTGCCTAGGTTGTGGGCTCAATCCTCAGTAAGGGGTGTGCAGGAGGCAGTCAATCAATGATTCTCTCTCATCATTGATATTTCTAGCTCTTTCTCCCTCTCCCTTCCTCTCTGAAATCAATAAAAATATATTTTTTTAAAAAGACTGAGAGACAAGAAAGGTCAGGGCTGACCACAGTGAGCATGATATGAGCATGAATGAGGGCCTCTGCATATGCCAGGAACTCCAACAAGCTTCAAACTCCAGCTTACTGGTATGCAGTTCATTGCAGTTTGGCTGGTAGGCCCAGGTATGAATTATACCTTAGACAACAGTAACTACTAACCACCTGACTCTAGGCTAGTTCTTTAATTCTTAGAGCCTCTATTTTTGCATATGTAAACTGAGGATAATATTATCTATACCTCTGAGTTATTATGAGGATCAAAAGAACCCATAATTGCCATTGCAGGACTTGACCCAGAGTATGTACTCAATTAGTACAGTTATTATAATTGGATTTATGTACTGAAGGCATAAAATCCTTTAGGGATGTTTGTGCATCATCTGTACTAATAAAAGGGTAATATGCTAATTAGACAGGACATCTTCCAGACATCCTTCCGTACAAAGCCACGGTGGTGGGGGGCTGAGGCAGAGGCAGTTAGGGACAGTCAGGCAAGTAGGCAGAGTGATTAGGGGTGATCAGGCAGGCAAGCGAATGGCTTAATTAAAATATACTTCATCCTATTTAGGGGTGATGAGGCAGGAAGGCAGAGGCAGTTAGGGATGATGAGGCAGACAGGCAGAGGTGGTTAGGGGCAATCAGGCAGGCAGGCGAGCAGTTAGGGGTGATCAGGCAGGCAAAGTGGTTAGGAGCCAGTGGTCCCAGATTGCAAGAGGGAAGTCCAATTGCCGGTTTAGTCCTGCGGGACTGAGTCTAAACCAGCAGTCAGACATCCTCCGAGGAATCCTGGATTGCGCAAGGGTGCAGGCTGGGCTGAGAGATCCTCCACCCCCCATGCACAAATTTCATGCACTGAGCCTCTAGTTATTCATAATATTTTACAAGTAGAAACAACCAAATGTCCATCAACTGATAAATGAATAAATAAAATGTGGTATACACATACAGACATATAATTAGACAATAAAAAGGAATTAAGTCCTGATACATGATATAATGTGGATGAACCTTAAAAGCATTATATGTTAAGTGAAAGAAGCCAGCCACAAAAGAGCTCATATTGTACAATTCCACTTATACTAGAGGTCTGGTGCACAAATTTGTGCACAGGTAGGGTCCAGCCAGGGGGAGGGACCAAGGACGGTTGGCCAGCTGCAGCACGCATCATAGTGACCAGTTCAGTAGATTAGCTTTATATAGAGAGATAAAAGTTATAGAACAGCAAATCCATAAGGACAGAACACAGATTATTGGCTGCCTAGAGTGGGTGTGATGAAAAAAAAAAAAAAAAAGGCAGAGTTCCCTTTGGATTAAGAATATGTTCTAAAACTGCTGCAATGGTTACACAGCTCCATGAATACGCTAAAAATGATTAGTTTCTACATTTTTAATGTACCTATACACTTATATAAAAACCAAACAAAAATCTTTGGGGGCTATGTCATGCAGCGAATGACAGGATGGCAACAAGCCATACCACAAGTGAAAGTGAAGAATCATCAAAGCGTTTTCTCACTCACACCTCATACTCCTTTTCCTCCACTTCAAATCTACACTTATGTATTTTAAAAAACCACTTAACTAAGTTCCACAATGAAAAATTCCCAACATGAGAGTTTTCAATATTGACTATAGCTCTTTGGATCTAACAAAGGCTTGCTGTTTTCTTGTGTCTTGCTTTTCTAAAGTATACCAGGAATCTTTATAATTATAACACAATCATTCTTATTAAAGGTTTCCAAATAGAATTAGTTTAACTAAAATATACTTCATCCTATTATTTTCAGAGATAAAATACCTACACTATACCAGGTTTTATGCTGGATATTTCCACATTATGTCATTTCACTACTGCAATAATCATGAAAGACACTATATACATTTTAAAAAAGAGAAAACTGTATCTGGAGGTCCTGGCTTACCCAATTTCATTCAGCCAAGGTCAATGGTAAAACTAAACACCTGATTTCAAGTTTAGTGATTATTTAAGTGTGCTCAAGACCCTCACCTCTCTTAAAACATAAGAAATTTTGCCTGGGCCAGCGTGACACAGGGGTGGAGAGTGTCGACCTATGACCAGGAAGTCATGGTTGGATTCCAAGTCAGGAACATGCCTGCGCTGTGGGCTCAGTTTCCACTGGGGGACGTGCAAGAGGCAGCTGATGGATGATTCTTTCTCATCATAGATGTTTCTTCTCTCTCTCCCTCGCTCTTTCCTCTCTAAAATCAATAAATGTACATTAAAAAAAACACGTAGTATTTTTATTTTCAAAGTACTAAGTAACTTATCATAAAGATAACTTAAGTTTAAAATTTAACGAAAGAAAAGGACTTTTGGAATTATTTCAAATACCTATTCTTTTACATATGAAAGTTAATTTTTATAAGTTTTAAAGACAAATATTCAGAGTTCAAAATCAAATAATGCAACTGATTGTTATCCAGAGACCACATAGTGAGGTAGAAGAGTCTAGAAAACAGAAACAAGTTTCTGTGAGGGAATCTACATTATAAAGTGGATATAATGTATATAATGATACTAAATTGACATTAAGAAAGCTAAATTGGGCCAAATTGGCTATTTTTTGGTATTATGGTATCTTAACCTTGAAGAAGAAAACACTTTACCACCACGAAGAAAACAGTGACCAGCCTGAGCAAGAACCACCAGCACCAACCCCACCACCAAGCAGACAGCAGACTTTCCCCTTCCCTCCAGTTCCTGGGGCAAGGCTGACCTCCCTCCTCTTTCTGACCATGCTTATTCAGGAATTATTCATTGAGAGCAGTGTGTGCTAGCAAACACAGGAAATAACGTTCCTGCCCTTAATGCTAAGGAAAGAACATTAAACTTCAGGTTAGAAAAAATAGTGTCCAGCCCCCACCCGTGTTACGCTGAGGAAGCCTGGTCACAGCCATATGTTCCACCGACACAGCGAGGAGGGAGTTGTGTCTTGAGTCCTTGAAGGCAGCCTGTGAGTCCCTGCCTCTTCCCTGGGCCATCCTGTTCCTTCCCATTTAGAGGACTGGCAGGGAATCAGCTCAGGAAAATTACAGGCCCATTATTTCAGAGAGCTCAGATGGTATCTACACCGCAGATAAGTCATTTGAGTATTTGTTTTTTACTTTTATTGATTTCAGAGAGGAAGGAGAGGGAGAGAGATAGAAACAACAATAAGAGAGAATCACTGATTGGCTGCTTCTTGGCATGTCTCCCACTGGGGATCGAGCTTGCAACCCCAGGCACATGCCCTAGATGAGGAATCCAACCCAGGACCTTTCAGTCTGTAGGCCAATGCTCTATTTATTGAGCCAAACCAGCTAGGGCAAGTCATTTGTGCTTTAAAAACCAATTGATCATCAAATAATCTGAAGTCTTGTTTTTGCCATGTGAAACTAAATAAAGAAAACCTTATTTAAAATGGAGCTGGAAAGCCCTGAAAGAGGAATATCTTCCCACCCATGCCCTGGGGGAGCCGGCCCAGGGCTGGGCCCCAATGATCGCCTGTGGAGCAGGTAAGGGGAGGGCCCCAGACCAAGGTGGGGTGCCAGGCAGGGCTGCGGGGCTGTGAGGCTGAGGGCTTGAGCCAGGGCCGATCTCTGCAGGCCACCTGGAGGGACCCCACCCATGCATGGTTTGTGAACCGGGCCTCTAGCTAGAAATAAAAAACAGAACCCATTAGCCTATTAAGAGAAATACATTATAACCTAGAGGGTTTATTCAAGGACTACAAGGACAGTTCATTATGAGGAAATCCACGAAGTAACATATTAATAACAAAAGAGAAAAATCATGTTTTCTTCCATAGATACTGAAAAGGCCTTAAAAATGTAACTTCATTCAATACCTAATAAAAACA